CACAGTGATGAACCCCTGACCTTACTGCCTCGGAATAAGCACGCAATTCTACATCTGCGGGAGCCACGCAGGTAATCTTCACAGACATTTCCGCTAATTATTACGAGAGCATGGTCAAACGAGACTGATGGCTGCCACTAACAGTGTGATACTAAACATCAGAACAGACTTAGAGCTTTAATATGCGGTTGTTTGAAAATGGGAATCAAGTTTTTCGTTACAATGGAGACTCTGGTAGAGACCGTGTTCTAGACTTCGCTTGTTTTCATGTGGCAGTAAACGGTGTCGTTGTTGTCTGCACACATAAGAAGTTTCGAGAGAATACTAATAAAAATAAAAGTAAATATTTCTGATTATTTACTTGCCTTGTTCTTGTCGAAGCGGGGTGAGTAAAACGTTCGCAGAGCTGACAAATACTTTTTTTTCATCTTAAGTCATTTTTTACTGGTATGATTTGCATTTGCCCGATATTCCTAAGTGTTTCGCTCTCCGTCTTGTTATGAACTGCAGCATACTATACTCACCTCGCCGAAAAAGGACAACCTAATTCAAAAAGATACAGCTTACTAAAATAATCTTTAAATTGGAACAAGAAGCTGTGCAAACTACTTAGCTGACACTGCACTCTAAATGTTATGGTTACGTTTAGTAGTCTCAGATGTCGTGCTGGATACCTGGATTTTAGCGATTTCCTCACGCACGTTATACCTGCTATGTTTGTAACATACCTACTTCTTAAACAACCTATTGGAGAGTTTCTACCACATGTTTAACGTCAAATATGAACTTTGAATATAGCCTTCTATTACGCGACGCCTGGATTTAAGATAACGTATTTTTTGGATATAGCCATTATACCTGTTGATATCCTATAAATCAAGATCATTCGGATAACAGCCGGGTTTTTCAATTGACCTGCTAGTTCAAGGTAGCAAGTGGGAAAATCTGAACACTAAGATCGAGTACTGTAACAAATTGAAATATGTGAAGGGGAAATAGTGCAAGGCAATCATGCACTTAAGTACGCGAATCAAAATACTGAGACGCTGGCACGAACAGGGTTTGCAAGAAACATACCTGGAACTGCTTTTCATAGTTGTGCTCCTGGTCAAGAACGAACTTAAACCACTCATTGGACCCTGTACGGCGTAATTCGGCCTCGATTCCATCGTAGTCACTCAAGTCCCATCGGTTACCCTTGTATGTTACACTTGCGAAACAAGCGCCGTTCGGTAGTGGATCTAATAAGTAGAAGAAGATTGCACATGTGGAATTCTGGGCAGTTTCACCGCCACTTATTTTATACTTACAGTTCCCTTGTGTGATGTAATCATGGCCTTGGATCCAAGGCGAAAAGTGGAACTTCCGGCTGAGCGGAATGTATCAGAGACTTCGCTCCACTTCGAAAAATCATGTGAAGTTCTGAAATCAAAAAGAAGGCCATCCTCCTTAAATCCATTAAGAAGGCTTGGCACTAGAGGGCTTTGCTGATGGGATTTGTAGACCCGCACCCAATTTATTTGGAGACTGCCAGGCCCAGATTGCTTAAATGATTCGAACACGCCCCCAAACACTTGGATACCAAAGCCGAGATTGGACTTGTTCAGCGGAGGAGCATTTTTAACAAGTCTACCATGGCTGTAAGCTTTGAAATCCGAAAACGCGAAACGTATCGTCTCGAATTCTGAGGGCGCCTGAAAAGGACAAAAGTTATATCGGTCACATGATCTGCTGACAGACGTTTGAGGAAGGTAACGATTTTATTCAAACCAGGTTCACGAACACTTCAGAGGAATACCTTTATTGTCT